ATTAAAGCCACACACAGTTGAGGAAAATGCCACAGATTTATCTGGTGGCCAGAAGGAATGAGAAAGAATGAGCCAGGGATGAGTCCCTTCGGTCTGCTCCTAGCAATGATGTGAGGTGATAGAGAACAATCTGCAGGCCCTGGCCAGGCCCCTCCCAGCCACTGCAAAAAATTAGCCCTGTCCTGGGCAAAACCAGGACACTCAAGATGATTTTTGGTTTTGTTAGAAAGTCTATAGTATTTTCATTTTTAATTAATATTGCTATCTAAATCAATGGAAATGGAGTATTTTTTCAAAGGTTTAGCTAGATCTTTCCCAGCATATCTTGCTTCCTGTTGGTGGAATACCTGCTCTGGTGGCCTTTAAGTCACCATAGAATCTGACTCACTATCACAATCTGTTCCATGGGGAGGATTCTTCCTCTTCTACTCCCTAGTCTCTCATAGTAGTAAATATAACTGAGTATTTCTCATTTTTTATGAGCTGGATTATAACACAAGACTGTAGCTTGAACTTCAGTAGCACATTAATCATTGCTGCACTGGAGCACATGCTGTGTCATCATTGTGAAGAAATGAAAAAGTAATATGGTGTTTACAGATAATTTGATGCAAAGATGGGAACACCTGTGTTTATTCCAAAGCACTGAAGCACATCCAGTTGCAACTGTTAATGTACAATTTTGCTTTTTTCTTTTCTTTTTAAAACATTTTCAAAAAGAGTGTGTTTCTCTGCTTAGCAGAATAAAGTTCATGCAGACTGGAATAAGTATCTAATTGACCATACGGTCAATGTTTACTGTTTAATTAACCTCATTAACTATCAATCCTCAYAACATATCCCTCCTAAAATGAGATTTCTAACATAATTCAATTGCACTTGACTCCTGGTATCTACCCCCATTATAAACTAGTTCAGGAAAGAGCCCTTTTCTCTATTCCCTCCTCACATYTTTTCCCCATTTCACTTCTTTTATTCCTGTATGTTTTTGCTTTTCTTTTTCACTGATTCTTGCTTCTCTCTCAAAAAACTTCAAAATAAAAAAAAAAAAAAAAGGAAAAAAAACCTAAAATAAAAGGTAGGAAAAGTAAATGAGAAGATAAACTGGAGAATGGGGATTCCATTCTAGAGGCAGGCATCCCATATAATTTGGCATGTCCTCGGGTGTCCTTTGTCAGTTAATCAGCCTGTTGTGGATGTTCCTGACACCTCAGATATTTAAACAGCAGGACACTTAGATTTAGGCACCTAATGCCACTCTGAGTACCAGCTAGAGTATCTTAAGTAGATCATGCAAAAAATGTTGTTGAAGCAATCTCAGTTATCATTGCTGTAAGGTTGATACCGCTTTTACAGATAAAATTCCCCTGAAGGACTTCAAAGTTCAGTCTATTAGAACAACTTTAGTTAGCTTTACTTCAGAGATGATATTTGATTTTTCTGTTCTGCAAGACTTTGGATCATCTCTTCTGTACTCAAGTTTCTTCTGGAGTTGACATATTGGAAGGGGTGCTCAAACTAGCTGTATCAGAATTTATTAGCAGAAATAGACAACCTCCAGTTTGACCAAACTGCAGCTAAAAATATTAGAAAAGGACAGGCAAAGTATGATGGTGAATGTCTGTAAATATGAGTCAAACCTCATCCTTGAGTCAAACTTCATCCTTTCTTTTTTAGGAAGAGGACACACATATCAGGTTAAGACTAGAAAAATTAAGAGCTTGTACACAGAGGTTTTGTTCATGTTGTATTTTTGAAAATTGAAGACTGGGAGATCCTGAAGAGTTCAGTTAGAAAATACTGTTTAAATTATGATATAGGAGAAGAAAAATCATTCTAGGAACTGTATTTTTGAAAATACAGAATGCATTGCTTCAACATATGTTTACTCCCACATTCAAGACAATCTATTTTRAAATATTTAAATTTTAAATTTTTTTCCCATCCCCGATCTTTTACTGCAGGTAGCTGCAGATCCTTGCCTCAGAATCTGGTGCTAGAACACTCTCAGCAAAGCTAAATCTGCAGACACATAAGCAAAAGAAACCCCAAAACCTTTGCAATTCACTGTATTAATTTAGTGGGAGGTTTGACAACTATAAATTGATTAGTTTGATTTTTTTTTTTTTTTGGTCTATTGGTTCAGACCAAAGCACAAGGAAAAGATTGCAGGCAAGGAAACCAATTTTCTTCTCACAGATGAATACCCACTGTCTGTATGTTTCTTGTGCAATTGATAAAACACCACCAGAAWGAGGTCAGAATCCTCAGACACCATGCAAGTGAAATTCATTTAGGAGAACAAAAATAAAAAACATAAAAAGACACTTAATAGGTTAGTTTTGCCATTTAAGTTTAATTTAATTGCATAATTTAGGTCAAAGAAAGTTCAAAGGAATGAAATGCCTATCAAAAACAAGAAGTATATCAGCCTTGGAAAGCTAGAAGGAACTCAAGTATGAAGTGGCTGCACTACAAATCTCATTCTGCAATGTGCTACACTGAAGTTTTAATGCAGGTTAACAGAGTTTGATGCCATTCAAAAGCATGCCACATGGTGGAAATGATTCTCTGAAAGATTCAGCAGTTACAAGATTCAAACATATCTGACTCCCTCCTTCCCCAGTCAGCAAACAAGGGTTGGATTCTAACTATTGCATGCCCTGCACATGATTCCACATTAATTTTGGTCCAAAGGGACCAAAAAGAAAAATACACGTGGAGTCCAGGTTTTATTTCTGCACAGGATTTTCAASAAGCTAAGAAAGAACTATGAATGTGCAGAGCTTTGCTGAAACCCCATTAGCATTACCTCAGTGAAACAATGAGGATTATGGGGGGTGTCTATTTGTATAGGCAAGAACAGCATCCAAAAAAATAAGGTCTCCTTTCAGAAAAAAAGAGGCAACCCATACCCAGATTAATAATTCTTAAGGTCAAATGACTGAAGAAAAGATTTAAAATTTTAAGTACAGCTTCTCAAGAGAAGCTGAATAATCCAAAGAAAGGCTTTTAAAATACAAGTGCTAAACTATGACAACTCATTCTCCATAGATTCCTGGATGCTGTGGTCATGAAATATTTGTGGAACTTAGATTATATTTAAATAACTTCTGGTATTTGTAACAATGCTGTAACATTTGCACTTTCCAAAATCAAATTTCTATGTTGTTTGTGAATGTCTGGTAAATGAAACTGCTGCAGAAAGTGAGGGGCTGCATTTCAGCATGGGGAGTATCCCAGTCATGATGCTTCATCCTTTCTTACAAACACTCACTACAAAAMGATGATGATATTTTCTAGTGACTATAACCAAATACATTTGTTAAATTTAGGAAGAGTATGCCACTATATTGAATACACCTGGCCCAGAAGAAGCAGCATGGCTATAACTGGCCATGCTTTTGTGATGCCACTATTTAAAGAAGAATATGATAGGCCCTTTCTGTTTACTTTGTAAGTCTAGATAGGAAAAATTGCTTGGTTGACAAATGTACAACATGACGTAACATTTCAGCTCCTTTTTTGCTTGTTTGTTTCAAGCCCCTCAGTTGTGATTCAATCTGTCTGCCTGGGTTTGTCCACCTGATTGTCAGCACAAAGTGAGTGACTCCTCYGAGGACAGGACCCATCATCAGGGGGACCCTGATCTCAAGAGGAGAGGGTGGAGCAAGTTCAGCCCGAGCTGCCTCACTGGTGAGGGAGTAAGATCCAGTCCAGAACCAAGATTCAGATCTATGAAGCCAAAGGAAATTTTAAAGAATGTTATTGGTTCCTTGATTTAATCAGTAAAAGTAGGTACCTGGACCAARTATCAGAGCAGAAAGATTTTTTTTTTCCTTAAATCTTAACCTTAAAGAAGAAAGACAAGCAAACTAAATTTAAAATAATGACTTTAGAGATCAGTTAACTAAGCAGATATTGCCACTTCAAAGGAAGTTTAATAAGCTTGTCAAACGATGACAGATTTAGAAATCAATTTGAAGCTAAGATAGCACCGCTGCTAAATCCTTAGCAGCCTAGACAAGAAAGCCAAACTGGGGAAAACACAAGACACTTTTCAAAGTGCAGTGTTAGAGGCAGAGAAATCCAGGGTAATGGGTATGGGTGCTTTACTGCAAATCTCTAGAAGCATAAAATATTCAAAGGCTTTGAGGAGATGCCTGAAAACTATTTCTGAGACCAAAATTATGACAGAAAAATATATTATATTAACACATCACTTAGGGATTTATTCTTACCCTAAAGATAAAAAAAATCTGGGAATTTGGGTTTATTTTTATTAACTTAATGACATTAGTAAGTAGTCTCCAAGAACAAATACATACTTTTAAACTGTCAAAGGTCRTATATTTTCTTAAATAGTTTCCTTTAATATCTTTAATTTTCAAGCTACTCAGGAGAAACATGAAATTGTTATATATTTTAAAAACATCMGTGTGCTCTTTTGTAATGAGTTTTTAAAAATTAACCTTCAGAAAACTATTTCTTTGGATTTCTCATACTCAAAATGTCAGCTAAAAGTGTTTACATTGATTATAGATGAAAGTTATTGGAAGAGTGTCTTTATTCASAAATCGAAAGACATATCAGCAAGGATGTACAAACAAGAAAACACTGTTTCTTCTGGAAGAAAAGCAAATATGACCTGGAGAACTCACTGGGAAGCTTTTCTGCCTCACCTCCTTTTTAAAAAGAAAACCTCAGACAAACATTTATTTTTGCAATACCTCTTGAGAGTTACTCTACCGTCAAATGGGATCAATGGACGTGGCATTGGATATCCTGCCAGAACTACCCAGGAAAATTAAGAGTTCATGCTCTGTGGACTTCTGCTTCTGAGTGGACAAAATCCCAACCCATCAGGCTGAGCAGAAGGTAGGCAGAATTGAAAGGATTTATTTAGGAGAAAGAGGTTTAGATTAATTATGCCTAATGCATTGATGGAAAAAAAAAAGAAAAGAAAATAATTAAAAAGAAGGAAAGTAGGCAATACTCACATCAGAGTTAAAGCGAAGCTGGCAGACATTGCAGGAAATTACTTGTTTCTTCTTTGGGGGAATGGACACTCCAAATGTATGGTTTATGACTGCTTTTTGCACAGGATCCATCTGGAGAACRAACAATAAACAATTTGCTTTTCAGGGCAATAAAGAGTATAGAAAAAAAACCAAAAAACAAAACTACCACATCTTAATTGCAAAGAGCCCCCTGAAAGCCCTCCCCTATCACTCACTGATCCTGCAGAAGCCACTTTTGCACCCTGACAACTATCATTTRTTTCTACCTTGTTTCCTTTCAGTGATAAATATTAGCCCTTATTTGGAAAATATTCTCTCCTGGAGATCTCTTTGTGAAAGGAGGCCCTTTGCAGGATCCATTAGAAATGGCACTTGCTGGGAAAAAGAGGTTGCAATCCCCAAATATTTCCATGCAGAACTGATGAGTGACAGAACCCAGGGGAAGGCTRAAGTTCGGAGGAAAATGAAGGGAGTGTTTGCACCAGGAAAGTCAGCATGCTTCAGAAAACCTTTTAACACTGTAAAATATGTGAGACTAGTGAAAAAACTGAATATATTACTCCTAAAATTGACTGAGCCTTCTCAGGAACTCAGAACTGATTACATCTTTGCTAAAAMTCAGGACTCCTGTTAGTCACAAATATCCACAGGATCACAGAGCGCTCTTTTGGTAACACTGCAGAACCTGGGGAACGACACAGGATGCTCAGAAAACAGTTTATAACTTCTGCTGTGCCCAGACCTCAGTCATAACGTGTCCTGATGTGACATGAATACTGATTAAAATTTTCCTGATGCAAAAATATCCAAACATAATTTTCTAATTAAAAAAAAAAAAAGCTGAATGTTTGGTCTGGTCTCACAACTGATCCTACTCTTAGCAGGACAAGGGAACAGATGACATCTGAGATCCCTTTCAACCCAAATGATCTTATGAGCATCTGTGTATGTGTGGTCTTCTATCGTTATCCAAGATAAGGAATGGATTCTGGAGAGGGCAGTTTACAACAAAAGAGAAATCCCATTTCCCCATTTTGCTTTTAAGCCAGTTCAGAAGAAAACAGTTTGATTTGTTAAAAAGTTAGATTTTTCTGAAGCTTGATTTGCAACCACAGTGATGATTTTTTTCCTTTACAATCCTACTGGAAGAAACCAAACCTGGCTGTTAAATACCAGGTGATACAAAACACATACTCTGTACTAAGGCAAATTGCAGAAGGGGGRGAAAACAGCTGAAGCAAGTGATCCATTAAAGAATTAGAACAGTAAATAGCTGTTTCCAGACTTCCTAAACATGAATATAAAGATTGTAATTTTCCCTTAGTACAAATTTCAAGCTTCCAGGGAAGCCTGCACTGCTGAGGATTTTCTTCTCATATACATACACACTCACAAAAAACAAATTCAAGAAAAACATATTGCATTGTATTGCATTCTTCAAATTTATTATCTAACATTAAACAATTGTTTTCCGACAATGGCTACATATGTTTCTTGCTGCATTCATTTTAAACCAAATGTATTACTCTGTAAATGGCACTAGTAACAAATTTTCCAGAGAGGTAATTTGTTATCTCTTTTTTTATTCTGTTTGGTTTTTTATTCTATTATTATTATTAATTTGCCACTAAGTACTGTATTTCATTGTCACAGGGCTACCATATGACAACACAAAGGTAAACCCACCTCGTCTGGTATGATCTACTGAATTATTAAATGATGTCGTGCTGTTACAATGAATGTGACAAAACCTAAGAAACACCTAAAATAAATAACCCTGTTTCCTGTTCCCTCTTTTTCTAGGACACAATGCAAGTTCAAAGTCTAAAAGCTGTATTGTCTCTACAACAAAAAAAAATTATTTTCCTAACTTGTACCATTTATGGCATTGCCCTGCACAGTACATCACAATTATACATGCAGATTAAAAGTTTTTTGAGCATCCACTTCATAATAGATATGACAACCAATATATATTATTACATTTATAATACATGTTAAAAGCTTGCCRTATTATTAGTGAACAGTTGGTTGGATTTTTTATTAAATGGAAGATACGTTTTACATTTCAATTAATTGTTAATCAGTTAATCTAGAAGAGTAATGCTCAAAAGTACCTCAACCATTTGCAGTCTCTGAGATCAGTGAAAAGAAATAGCAAAAATACCCACTAGTGTCTGCAGTCCCATTTAAAAAAAATACCAAGGGGAGAAGCAGCGSTCAATGATTCCTCTGTGCATTCCCAGTAACAATCCACAGCGCTAGCGCGAGGSAAGGCAGTTCACAGCCACACAATACACAAAGTCCCAGCTCCAAACAGATGTAGCAGCACAAGGACAAAAACCTACAAAAATAATGCAGCTCACGCTGCCTCCAGAAAGTACCACTTGTGATCCCCAGGGGAGYGGTTAATGATCCTCCCCAAACTGGAGCCCTGTGTGCAGTCTGGTCATGATTAGAATTCAAGAAGTGCAACATTAACAATTAATACGCTTTGAATATATCAGAAACCGGGGTGGATTACAGCATGCTGGAGAAATAAAATAGTATCTCTCTGTCAGAAGATTAATGCTGCAGGATAAACTCATCTTAGATCATTACACAAAATTATCCTCTTCACTGAGGGAGTAGCAAAGGGGGAGAGACTTATTTGTTAAGGTATTTATTAGGAAATGAYGCAGCAGAGCTTGCCCAGTGGGGAGCTCCAGTATTTAAGAACCAGATCTATAAACCAAAATAATAACAGGAGCTAATAGCTACCACAAATGCAAATAAAATTCTGCACTATGCTGTTTATGTTACAGGGGGAACTAGCAAAGCAATTTACAGCGCTCTGGTAGTCTTAACTAGGTTTAACAATCTAGTTAGTTTTGTTCTCCTACTTCAATTGGTTTAATGAAAAGTTAAATTTAAAATRTATTTCTAAGAAAGTTGAAGATACTATCTTTTTTGCAATGAGACTCCTTAAAACCACTCAAACTATCAAAGTGAGCAAGAATTAAGAGAATTCAGACAGAAAWACCCTAGAGCTACTGAGACTTGCAACAAGAATTTTAAAAGCGCTTAAAAATACAAATGTAGCAACAGACAGRCCAGAACAGTAGCAGCACAAACAGACATTGTATTTCCTATTTTTTTTTTCATATTTTCCCACCAAAAATTTTCCAGAGTTGGATGTTTTTTGTGTATTTGATAAATTCCAGGACTGTCATGGATAGTTAMCTCTGACATTGATGTAAACCAGTTTGCAGTCTTTGCATGCAGTTCCAATGCCTTCAGTCTKTTGTGTGAAGAATTAATTATTTTTGTTTAAATATAATTTCATACAATTCAATTTCATAAAATCTGTACCACATCCCAAGTTATCTGTGTGCTGCTCATTCCGTGTATGGAAATCATTCCACTCCTTTCCGCATTCTTGTTGCCCATCTCCATTCCACCAAAATGTAACTAATTCAATTAAATACATTGATGAWACAGACAGGAACCATACAAAATACTCAGGGTAAATCAGTATTGAACTCTGAGCTGATGTTTTCAAGGAATCACTACTATAAACTTTGATAGCCAATTCCTATCTATGTGAAGTTTGGTGAAATTGTCCTTTTGTGTGTTTCACTTTTGAATTATCTAAATGCAACTTCACCAGCCATTATTGTCTGGCTTGTGAGTCTCAYCATGGTCTTTCACAATTTTTGTGGTCTTTCTTAGACCTCAYTACCTTGGAGAACTTCGCCAACAGSAAACTTCCTCAGCTCACTTRCCTCYYGAGCACCGTTTTTATGCCAATTTAYTTTTCTTAAAAAATCTTGGCCARGGGCTTTTGTGAAAATCCTTCTGGTAATTCAGACTATGTAGATTAAAATATATTCATTCATAATGTTTTCTGACCCCTACAAACAGGCTTGTTAAGAGGGAGTTATCCTTAAAAAAGAATTATGGTGACACTTTAGAGGCAGTTTACGGGATGCAGTATTCTATTATTCTATTCTTAKTGAGGTACCTGTTAATTTGCCTGGYAAAAAGACCTATGGAATGAGTTTTAAAAACTTGCATCATATTTGCCATCTTTTAGCCCTCAGGTGCAAAGACAGTTTTAGATGAGCTGCTACACATTATCATCAGCAATTCAAGAATTTCACYCTTGAATTCTCCTATCATCCCTGCCCTGCTGTACATCATGGTACCACAGATTTTTCTGGTGCCTCCTGGGAAATGAACCACCAAGAGACATGAAAGTAGGCATAGGAAGAAGAGAARAGAACTGCATTGGGAGAAGTTGATTGGTGAAACTGAAGTTCTGGTTATTTTGGAAGATCTCTTTATACACAGCAGGACAGTACAAACACCAATTTGGGAGCCTCAGAAAYAGATTGCAATGATCCTGAGGAGAGGTAAGTTCTGTCTTTTCCTAACAGAAGAATAACCTTAAAAGTGAGTAAGATTTAAAGTTGTGACTGGCAGTGTACATCTCCTGTTACCTCTCATGATGATATAACTCTTGGGTCCAATATGGAGTTAACTGTTGGAAAAGCTTTTGTAAACATAATATTGGCAAGTGGGTATAAGAGATGTAACTCGGTATCACTTAGCCAGCAGGCAAAATAAGCTTCTGAAAAACACAGAGCGTGGCCTGCAGAGTACCATGTTAGTTTACTCTGATAAAGAGAAGTTCTAAACAATGTGTGGAACAAACCTATAACATAATCCAGTATTTCCCTCTGAAAAAAAAAACCCAACAAAAAACTAAACATTGGCATATATAAATTAACAATGCAACATCTACATTAAGTTCTGTAACTCCCTGTGTTTGAGCTCCAGTTGTTGTGAAAGCACACTGCCACTGTGGAGAATGACCATACACTGAGGCTTATGGTAAATCCTGCCAYATATACACAGCCCCCTACCATAACTGTACATATTGCAATGACTAAAAGAGTGACAGAAGTGAATGCACATACTCAAARAAGTACATATTTAATATGTCCAGCATAAAATCAGAAACATTAACATTGTGATGCAATGCTTGGCATGCTTGGCCAACACAAAACGGCAAAAATCTGYTCTCTCCACATTTGCACTGTTTTTGT